TGTCAAATCACTAAAATAAGCTAACTACACAAATTATGAAATGGGTATCTCACAAATGAGTGACATCGCAGGAAGCTATGTCTTAGTTTGCCTCATATTGCTAAATTCGCAAGTAAAGTAGAGAAATTTAAGTTAAATCGCAAGCACTCATCATAGTGGTTTCATCCAGGTGCCCAAACGAAACAGTAACCTTCGATTCAAGAAAGCGATCATTGAATATCATATTTTTCTTGTTATTTCACATACTGAAATTTTAGCTTTGTCACTCCTTATTATATAACAAAATGCATATTATTTAATATGTATTATGAGAAATAGAAGTATTCCATTAGTTGAAATACAGAGTTGAGGGTAATAACAAAATGTAATTAAAAAACAAAGCAACATCAATATTATAAAAACAGAAATTTAATCTGTTTTTCACATAGGTACATATTTCGTCAATCTTTTTAACTTTTTACATACGGAAAAATAATCAAAAAATTAAAAATATAATGCACTTACATTGTTTACCAAACGTCGGGGCACACACAGCCAGCAGGGTAGCGACCACAAAAATTACAGCCTTCATTTTCTAAAAATAAATCACAGATACTTTGACAAAGAAAATAAAATGATAAAGCAGGCTCCTTATAGTACGGTTACTTGTGAGAGTCTAGCCTTTACACTCACTGGTGCAGAAGGCGACTTCTCTTAGCACTATAAAATGGAAAACAAGGGCTATTCGCGCAATTGTCTCAGATTAAACCGAAAAATATTCGACTACGCAGCGATAACAAAAGCATGTAGTGTTGACAAGGCGCTCGAAATAATGACATACGAATATGATTACGACGCGCAAGCGAGATAGATGACTAATCGAAGTACCTACAAGGTTTTGTGTTCCGAGTCTGTGGAATATTTTTGTTCTTGTATAGCTTATTTGTCAACTCTACGGCTTTGAATAACTATATAACTGTTGTGATAAGAATTTTGTATGTACGTTAGCCTATCAAATCATGAAAAATCGATAAACACTGACTTTTTATGAAATATGACGAAATCATTTGGAACACAAAACCTTGACTTTTTATAGATGAGCATGACAAGTATATAGCGTTGTGTTAGTGTTAGTGAGGGGGTCGGTGGGAGGAGGGGAAGGCAGTACTGGGTTATAGGGATTCCATTATTAGCAATTTCCCCATATTAAAGGAGAAATATCATTAAGGCAATTTAAAAGTTCAGAGTGATTAATAAAATTGAGATACGCTTACAGATTTCTTTTTGCTTTTCATTTGAAGTAAGTATAATTATTATAATTATGTTAAAATATTTGAGTGGAATTTAAAACATATAAGAAAATTTTAAAATAAAATTGGCTACCCTAGCTACATCGCAGGCAATTCATGACGTGACGATAAACAGATCAAATACAAATACTTTACCTTCGTAATCGAGAACATTGACAGTCATACAATAAGCGGAAAATATAGTGATAATTTTGTTTTGTCCCTTGTGATACGGGAGATTTTGTTAATTTCATTGATCAGATCAATTTATTTTTGTTGGGAGTCGCCTTCTGCGCCAGTGTGTGTAAAGGCTGCACCGACGGAACATTTTTATATTGAAAGTTAATTCTGGTGAGTTAACTTTGTTTTAATTTTAGAACAATAAATTCTTTTGTGCGATTAAAGTGTAGTTGACAATTTACATGAGGGTATTTTTGCTTTTTAATATCTGAATATCTTCACTGTTAGATAATTCTAGCCATTTTTCATATCTGTTTGAATTAGTTTTTATTGTTTGATTGAGTATTTATTGTTGTGGCAGTTAATATTTTCTTTTTAAGTTTTCATACAATTCATAATTTTACTTGTTTATTCTTCAATAAATCTTCATTCTTTTGAATTTTAATTATTGTTTTGTACAAACATATTTGTTGTATTGAAAACGGCTCTAATAATTTGTTGAAATTATTTTTATATTATTTTGTCTTTCCAAATCCAAGTTTGTCCAGATAATATTCCTCCTTAAAAAAATAAACTTCAATTTATTTACCAACACCAAGCAAAGCATGATCTTCAAGGCACTTTTGACATCATTAGTCAATAATACAGATTCTATACTTACTAAGACTATAAAAATCAATAAATCTATTAATTTGTAAATGCACATAAATATTATGTTTTTTTTTTTAGTTATGAGATTCTAAGATTCAGGTTCAAGTTTAATTTATATTTAGCTACTTTTTAGGGCATTACACAGAAACAAAGATATTTTTATCAAAAATAGTTCTGCGAATTCTAGGTACAACCATAAGAGAGTAATACCAGTTTATTGACTCCAAAAAGTCAGCACTTCCTTTATGGGGCAATGACACTTTTACAAAAATGTCCCAGAAATATGCATGGTTTATTTATCAAAAAGTCTAAAAATTTTATTAAACAAAATTCATATACAAACATGCCCACAGAACATTGAAGTTGAAATATGCTATCTCTAAAATAACCCAATAATATTTTTATATGGTAGAGCCACACTGCAGCTTTATTATGGTTTTCGTTCAAATGTATCGGTTTGACTGGTGAAGGATAGTATTACACTCTTACAGAGTACCAGAGTAAAATAGCTTAATACAGCTGTATTTTGTATGATATACAGCTATGTTTGTATGTAAGTGTAGAGAATTGCAGATCCGTTTTACTGTAAACGAGGTATTCCATCTTAGTGATCAGAGATAACAATGCATCTGCATTTTGATCTGTAATTGAGGTAAAATTTAGATGTCTAAGGGCTACAGCGTCAAGTTACCATCGGTCACTCTTATCTAATATGTGATAATTTATTTTTGTTTGTCCGTATTTTATGCACTGCCATACCGTTCATCTGCTTGCGCTAAAACTTTGTCAACATATTGGTTGCACTACTGGGAAGATTATAGGCATAGTACAATTAACTTACAATAGGTGATCTTAGTGATCAGAGATAACAATGCATCTGCATTTTGATCTGTAATTGAGGTTAAATGTAGATGTATAAGGGCTACAGCGTCAAGTTACTATCGGTCACTCTTATCTAATATGTGATAATTTATTTTTGTTTGTCCATATTTTATGCACTGCCATACCGTTCATCTGCTTGCGCTAAAACTTTGTCAACATATTGGTTGCACTACTGGGAAGATTATAGGCATAGTACAATTAACTTACAATAGGTGTGTATGTGTGTATCATACCGACAAATTTATTCGACAGATCATTCAAATTCGGTGAATGTTTTATCATTCCCAAATAAACAATAAAACTCTCCCAAATTTGGTTTTTAATGATCCGGATTCTAAATCTAAAGGTTTAATCAAACACAGACGGCATTACTCACAGTCCTTGATTGTTGCTTATTTAAATTAATTTTTAATGATCTCTATAACTGTATCTTTCTATTGTCATTTAGTGAAAAGAGACAGAGTAACTTTATTCAAGCAAACAAACAAACCCGTAAGCTGACCTTAATTTATACAGCTTGAATTTTAATTGCCTTTATGATATTTATTTTCTACATTAATATGGATAAAGCACTAATAAAATAATCTCCATATGTCTCCCCCCCCCCACCCCTCCAACCTAATCTATATATAACTAACCCACATTTTCGTAATCAACATTGATTTTTATGAGTGAGACCAAGAAAGACAATTAGGTATTTTTAAATTTTTATTAGTTCTAGTAACTTAAATTTGTTTTCTTTAATATAAAGTATAATATAGTTGTTACTATAATTGAGAAACATCTCTTTTAGCAACTTAAAGAATTATGATACCTTTAGTATCAACTTCAATGGCAGAATTTTTTTTATAGTATAAAGGTGACAAACAAGCACACAGTCCGTCTGATTTTAAGTGGATACTGTGGCCAATAGACATCTACATCTACCCTCAATTAAGATTCAAAATGCAGATGCTTTGTCAATTCTGAGGACAAAGTTGGAATGCTGCGTTTCCAGTAAAAAGGGTCTCCGGTACTCTACACTCACAATACGAAATACAGCAGCTTATTGCATTTGCATTTTGATTCGTAATCGAGGTTACATGTAGATGTCTATGGGGGCACAGCAACCACTCACCATCAGGTGGACTGTGTGCTTGTTTGTCAACCTTATCCTCTCCGAGAAGAATGTTTGTGACAGATAGACAGTCTACTACAGGTACTAGTGGTTGGAAGGATTTCTTTTCATTCTTACTGGGTAGTTTACCATCCCTTTAATTATTTTCTCTACCAAGAAGTAGTGCATGCACCAGTCTGACCGTGTTCCAATCAGAAACGCATTGAGAGCCAAGTTGATTGCAAGTGTCATTGGGCTACAGTAGCCACTTAACATTAGATGATAGGCTGTAAGCTCTTTTATCACTTCAGTTTTATAAATACAAATCAAAATCCTGAATTCCTCCTTCCCCTTTCCATCATTGGACAACCAGGCGTTTGGCGGGTCTCGACCCCTTTACTCGTTGTCGATATTCCAAATTTGCACGCATTCGAACCAAACAGTTTGCTTTAATCTGCCAGCATCCGTCTTTCCATCCGATTACTACCTGGGTGTCTTCTAGGCAAAAGTGATCAGGCTTTGTTACGCTAAGGCAGTACGATTTACCTACTAGAGCTACATCAGGTGGGATTGCACATACGTGTATATGCACCTGATGTAGCCTTAGATAGTATATATACTCCTGAAATTACCAATAAAAAAATTGATGGTCACTTATCAGGATAGAAACCATCCTATCTCAAGTTGGACCAAACTGCACACAGTGTGCAAAATTTCATTGAAATCGGTTCAGTAGTTTAGGAGTTTATCGCGGACAAACAATGTTACACGTAATTTTTACATATAAAGATATATAATTCTGCTGTGCATGTGTTATGTGACTGGACTGACTCCTCCTAAACGGCTGGGCCGATTGATACAACCGCCGACCTTTGTATGCTCCAACTATAGATAACTAAACAATGCTCATATTTTGTAGAACAATGACAATGTTTGGATTCGCTCTCGCTTGCATTCTCGCCGTGTCTGGCGCGTTCGCCGCCGACACGTGCTACCAGGACGTCTCTATGGACTGCGGGCAGGCTTCCAACAGTCTCGGTAAGTTGTTTAGTATACTGTAATATTAATAGCAACGATTTTTATGTCAATTATCAAAATCTTCTACTTTTGCCTTTTTTCTATTAAGTTGCTATTTAAAGTAAAATATGTAACAACAGACTTAAAAAAAAGCTGTTAGCAATTCGATTATATTTTAATTTTTTAATCTCATATCGAAAAAGTACGCTCTTGCATTTCAACCAAATACGGTGTTAATTGCGTTTATATTATTTACGGTTCGATAGAATAAAACATTCGTCTACCACTGTAAAGCGTGAAATAAAAATAATATCTACTATTAATATTAAGTATTAATCACAGATTGAATATACGAGTATACCAAGCTAAAAATTATTTTTCTACCATTTCTTACCAGCCTTGCCAAGATGTAACGCCGTCTACGGAAACTACGGACGCCACGGCAACGTTGCAACGGAGCTTCAGGCATATGCCAATCTCCATCTTGAACGTTCTTACGAATATTTACTGTCTGCTTCTTACTACAACAATTACCAGACAAACCGTCTTGGGTTCAGTAAATTATTCAGGAAGCTGTCTGACGACGCGTGGGAAAAGACTATTGATTTAATCAAGCATGTTACTAAGAGAGGTTAGTTATAATGTCTGTACATTTATATAACGCCAAATTAGCGCCGCTATTATATATTTACAAGGGTAAGTACTAAATTGGTGAAAGAAAACAGTAATTTCTAGTATAAAAGCAGATTTTAATTTGGTGTTTTGAATACAAGCTTAAAATTACTTTTAAGTGAAATATCTTTACTACATAATATGAGATAAATTAACTGTACGTAACCAACCAATACTGATTATGACCGTAAACCTTCATTTATGATGCATGTTTTTGGGTCTGTTCGATTTTATGAAATGTAGCTAGGGTGCGACGGTACTAATCCTATTACTAGTTTAATTCGCTGTTCGTTTAGTAGTCGGTGATTGGTGCAAGCACCATGGATTGCGATTACTTCTTGTTAGTGAAGTGTCATTAGCTCATAAAAGTCCACTTCTGAACGTGGGCTTGTACCATTTCGTTTAGTCGGCCGATCGCTGTACTAAACGCCTCGTGTTCACGCTGCTGCCGTCGCTGTACTTGATTAACAAGCAAAATGGTTAAAACAGTAATTTAAAACCTGACTGCGTGAATAAAGCTTTCCCCTCCCTGTTTTTGTATTTGCAGATTCAATATATAAAATTATATAGCTTGTGTCACTCCCACTATAAAGACGAATCTATACTTCATATGTTAAAATCCATTAAGCCGTTTAAATAATCTTCAAAAATAAGCTCCACTGACTGTGCGGTGCATTTATTTTTATAATATGTACACTTACAGTCGGTAAGTATACATATTATAAAAGAACATTTAACGATATGGTATGGTGGTACATTTAGCTAACGATTTTTATTTATTTTAGGTGACATGATGGACTTCTCTCGTCGCAGCACCCAAGAAGAAAAGTCCGAGAAGAACTACACAGTAGAACTGCACGAACTGGAGTCCCTGGCCAAGGCTTTGGACACACAAAAGGAACTGGCCGAGCGGGCCTTCTATATCCATCGCGAAGCTACCAGGAACAGCCCACAAATGCATGACCCTGAGGTTAGTGCTCCTTAGAATTATGTTTAGATAAAACATAACATAAACTCTTTCCTCATTCATTCTTTCTACTTGTCCAAACCACCCAAACATTACTTTCTTAACCCTGGTCACAACATCGTCATGAAAACCACACCTCTCTTATCACATAATTTCTCACTATATCATATAATATATTTAACGATTGCATTTCTACAGCATTAATTTAACTCTCAAATTTATTCTGTGATACCTAACTTTCGCTGCCATACATTAATGTAGGGACTATATTTCATTTATGTTACTAGTACAATTTTCGAGGAGTTTAATGGAGTTTTTTTTTAATTATCTTATCATTGAGACTAGTTTTTGTCTACGTGGAATCAAAAATATTTTGTTCATTTCCTCACGGTAATATATTCCATTCTAGTGATACATAGTATTATTGCCCATTTTATATAAGATTATATTTTAGATAATCTAAGATATTATTTATTTCATCTAGATCTGCTAAGAGTGGATTATGCTTGAATGAGTAATGGATTTTTATCCAGGAATTTTAACACAAACTTTCGCTTATATACTATGTAGGCTTAAACTTAAAACGTTTTGAGATGTTAAATAATTATTCTAAAATGACTTGAAAAAATTGGATAGGGAACGCCGTGCCTGAAAGCTTACTATTCTGGCATCTTAATACTCAGAAGTGACAACGCATTTGCGTTTGGATTCTTAATTGAGGAAATAAGTAGGTGTCTGTGGACCATCAATTAAAGAGGGGTGTGCTCCTTTGTCACAATTCCATAAAAAATATTTTCGCCACTATTTATCTTTGTTTTATCTTGAAACGACAAATGTATTTAATTTACGTTATAATTTGTTATACAGATTGCCCAATACTTGGAAGAGGAGTTTGTGGAGAAGCAGGCCGACACTATCAGGAACCTTGCTGGGCACACTGCCGATCTCAAGAAATTCATTGTCGCCAACAACGGTCAAGATTTGTCTCTCGCATTGTACCTCTTTGATGAATATCTGCAAAAGATTGTCTAAATAATAATTACTCAAAAGCCTAAGATCGTAGTGTAAATTCCTCCACTATTTAAATTAATATCTACCATATTAACGAAAAACCTACCATTTTAGTAGCATTTATTGCTTGCAACACTGACATTAGTTTGAGTTGTACAAATTTATAGGCTGTAAAAATGTGTGATTTCATGTTTTTTTTAGTTCGAATAATTGTATAATGTATTTTATTATAAGATTAGTAGAAAATGTATGATTAGCACATATGTTTTTTTTTTCCTTATTCAAATAAAAATTTGTCATTACCTGTCCATTTTCGTTTTATTTAAACCATTATATATTTCTGCAAACTTCTTCAAAGTTGCACACGCAGTAATTATCTATATTCCGATGAAATAATTGACAAAATAAATGGTATTTGATGATTATCTTAAAACTAAGTAATGCCACATTAATAGATCTTACGCAGGCCAAGCGGAGTGCGGGTCGTTGTAATTCATATAATAACAATAGGTAACACTTTAACAATTACACAAAATAAAAATAACAATCATTACATGTTAGAAATATAAACGTAAACCAATGCGATGGTTCATTTAATTATAGTAAATCCGCTCAGAAAATTATTCAAGAACACTATTCTGGCTAGCCCAAACCCTGCACACATAATTTTTATTTATTACTGGCTGATACCCGGCGAGTTGAGTGTTGCCACAGAAGAAATAATTGTGGAAATATCGTTTTAAATTTGGAAGGATTATATTGTTTAATTAAGAATAATAATGATGATGATGATAAATAACTATCAAATAAATTGTCGGTACGATACACGCGCCACCTAGGGTGAGTTAATTGTATTATGCCTATAACCTTCGCGCAAGTGACAAAGTTTTACCGCAATCGCATGAACTGTATGGCAGTGTATAAAATACCAACAAACAGAAATTTATTTTTATATATTACATATTAATAGTATTTTTACAAGAATACTTATTGAGTCATTTAAGTTTTACCACGAAAAAAATCCTCTGTCTCCTGGGAAGAACCAGCAAGAAACCCAGCGGGACTTTTTTAAATAACAGCTTACAATCATGTATGTTACACAATTAACAAATTAGAAATAGCCTCATAGCATCATCCATATATTCCTTAATATTATAATAACCCTTTTTGTACAAGCTTAGTTTTTGAAAGAGCAGGTCAAAATTTCTAAATTTTCCGAAATTTTGTTGTAAAAGCGTATACATCGCCCCAAGAATGAATTACTGACTTGGTGGAGTCGAGTAACTGGTACTACCTACTAGCTTGTGTCTGTTCCTAAGGATCGTAATTAAGACGTCGTCTATGTGGTAGCATACATGTGTGCCTCCTTGCCTCGCACCACACTTCTACCTGTATGGATTTCAGTACTCCCACTCCCACCACCAAACTACGTTGATCTGGTTTAAGTATATAAATCTGAAAGTGTTTTCTATTTCACATAGCACTGCAATGCTGTCAAGTTTTTGTCACGAGTTGACCATATTCGCAATGTTTTCTCTCATATTTCATGTTGCATATATTTTTTTCATTTATAACTATTGCAAATTGATAGTCAAAGAGAAACCAATATAAAATTAAAAACTAGGGCACCATTTCCCTATACCTTTACCAAATTAAATTCAAATTCTAACATTATTTAAATATATATTTAAAGTAATGCTATTTATTTAAATTGTTAAAACATAGTATAAAATCAAATCTAACTAAAACGTTACACACAATATTAAAAAGAAAAACTATATAATAAAGAAACACTAAAACTAAACATTTAAATTGTCATGCAGCCAGCGTTCTTGGCACGATACCACGGGAAGTAGGCCTGTATTTCCTCGCCGAATGCCTATACTTAGCCTGTGAGCGAGAAAAGAAGCAGCCCTCTTATCACTAGCAGCGACAACCAGTCCCGGATACAGTTCCTTTAGGAACTTCAGCAAATGTCACAAATATGCAGTCATTTTTCAAAGACTCATATTTGCGCCGCTTACGTAATTCAGGTGCCTCTGATGCCGTCCCGGCTCTAAACGAGGTACCCTTGAGATGAGAGGCCGCCAAAGTGTCTACGCAAGTAGCATCCCACACTAGGGCTTTACCTCTCTCCCAAGGGACCAAAGTCATACCTTCGGGTCTCTTGCCATCGTCTCTAAATATCCCGTAAGGCTCTAAAACCGAGAGAACATCTATAGAGACAAGAGCCCTTAGGATGACTTCCTTCAAAGAACCGTGACGGAAATGGGTATGTATAATATGATGTATAATATAAAAGTCCGTGGAGCCTAAACTCGTCGACGCTGCAACCACAGGGGCACTGGTGAGGTTGACAAATGTTCATGTCTTAATGACATGCAATTAATCCTCTGACCTGAGGCAGTTATTTCGTTAGGTACTTCAACTTTATTTATCTTTATATATAAAAATTACGTGTCACATTGTTTGTCCGCGGTGAACTCCTAAACTATTGAACTGATTTCAATGAAATTTTGCACACTCTGTACAGTTCGGCGCGACTTGCGAGATAGGATAGTTATTATCCCGATAACTGACCCTAATTTTTTTCATTTTTCACAAACATTTCAGGAGTTTTTTTTTTGGAAAGCAAATGGTCGTCAAAAAGGGCAGAACAACGTCTGACTGGTATGCTGGTATGTATATATAATATATTACTCTAAGAGCTTAAGCCACACAACCGTTATAGTAGCTCGTTAATTAATTAAATTATCATTATGACGTCTTTTCATCCACAATAATATTGCGGAGCACGTAACGCCATTACGTAATTAATTGTGTATTGTTTTACATTATTATTAATAGAGCAATAAAACAGTATTATCGATGGCTCATTTTGTTTTAAATTTAGCACTTACCTAAAAGATAAATTATTAAAAAGTCATATTGTGTTTTATGACAATATTAGTAAAAACAATCGAGCTCGCAATTTTTTATTAAACTAGTGTCAATCTATACAAATAAATAAAACTGAAGTGTTCGTTTGTAATGTCAAAATAATAGCTTATTACTAAATGCATAAATACGAAAGTATATACGCTTAATGTGACAGCCTATATACCACCGCGCTGCCGCAATGCATGTTGGCGAACTTCACGTCTTCGAAATATTTTTTTTTATTTCTCAGACATGCAGTTTTCCTTACGATGTTTTCCTTCACCGCCGAGCACGTGGTAAATCCGCACTTGCTGTAAGCTTCACAGTACTCGAGGAACCCGGGTTCGATCCCCGTCGGCACCAATGAAATTGTTAATTTTGTAATAAAGTACCTACTTAGGTATGACTTCTGTAGTTAAATTATTACTTAATTCTTTTTTCGCTATAAGTATACCTAAGTATCTAACAATAAAAATGAAATAAAATCACCTTCCATTATCCTTCGGTAACTTAAAAATGATATATCTGAATCCTTTTGTTTGCTCGTTAAGCATCCAACCACGTAACAATTATAGTAGTATATCTATATTATATATTGCCGTGTAGTGGCGGTTAAGAATATCCACTACCCCATATCTTCCCGTGGGTGTCGTAAAAGGCAACAAAGGGAAACAGGCAGGAGATGGGCAGCAGCATCTTCCTGATAATAGCCAAAATAACAATAAAAAAAAAACTGCGGTTGCCAACCCGCCCGCCAAGCGTGGCAACTATGGCAATATACCCCCCATGAGCAATGACAATAATAAACGGCCCCTAGTCCCCGGCGGCCCCGCTATTCCTGGCTACGGTGGCGACCATGGTAACGGCGGGGCAGGGGGTGCTAAGAATCTCCGGTGGAGGTTCGGTTGCCACCTACGACGACTCGACCTGGCAACATACAACGCACGCACCCTGAGGACTGACGAGAAGATTGTGGAGCTGGAAGAAGAGATAGACAAGTTACGCTGGCATATTGTAGGATTATCCGAAGTCCGAAGAGAGGGGGAGGACACGGTAATCCTCGAATCCGGCAACTTGCTCTATTACCGGGAGGGCGACCATCTGTCCCAAGGAGGTGTTGGATTTATCGTCCACAAGTCTCTCGTTAACAACGTTGTAAAGATTGAGAGTGTGTCGACGAGGGTTGCGTACCTTATACTCAGAATCACCAAACGGTATTCGCTGAAGGTCATACAGGTTTACGCACCAACCTCGGCACACCCCGATCAGGAGGTGGAGGAAATGTATGAGGATATCTCTAGAGCCATGCATTCCTCCAAAACCCAATATATGGTGTTAATGGGAGACTTCAATGCAAAACTAGGCACAAGAGAGAACGGTGAGCTGAAAGTAGGGAAATTTGGAATAGGGCAACGGAACCCAAGGGGCCAGCAGTTGGCTGACTTCATGGAGAAAGAGGGACTCTTTATGATGAACTCTTTCTTCCAGAAGCGGCCACACAGGAAGTGGACCTGGTCGAGCCCCGACGGTTCGACAAAAAATGAGATTGACTTCATTATGACGACCAGACGACAACTGTTCAGTGATGTCTCAGTGATCGCGAGGGTGAAAACCGGCAGCGATCACCGAATGGTTAGAGGCACACTGAACCTAAACGTTAAGTTGGAGAGGTCTCGTCTAATGAAGTCAACGCTCCGTCCCCCTCGTGCTCTAATCCAAAGTCCCGAAACCTTTCAGCTCGAGTTACAAAACCGTTTTCAGTGCCTAGAAGACTGCAATGAAGTGGACGATATGAATGACAAGCTCGTGGAAACTGTCCATGCGGTCGGAGCTAAGTTCTGCAAGACCCGCCGCAGAAGAACACAAAAACTCTCCGATCACACTCTTAATCTCATGGCTGTTAGACGGGAGATGAAGCTACATTCTTCAACAGATTTGACAGCATACAGGCAACTGAACAGACAGATCTCCAAATGCATGCGGCGGGACTTACGCAACTTCAATACAGCTCGTATTGAAGAAGCGATCGAGCGGAACCAAGGCTCCAAAGTCTTTGCCAGAGATCTGTCTGCCAGAAAGCGCCAACTGTCAAAGCTGAAGAC